TAGTGCTAAAACACTCAACATCACCTTGCCTACCAAGGCATTGGTTCTGGTTCTTGTCTCTGCTCCTGCTACCATTGCTGGCCATCTATGTTATCTCATTGCTATTTCATATTGAAATATTTTAACAACCCTAGCAGCAGCAGGACATTGGCTTTACCTGAATTAGATTAGGGTGCTATGCCTTGTGGTTGTGTGATAGAGTTGATTGAGTAGCTTTAGTAATAGGTTAGACAAGGATGGGATGGTTTGGATACAGATGATCCTGCTTCAGGCAGGGGGCTGAACTAAATAACCTCTAGAGGTCCCCTCCAGCCCTACTTGTCTACAGTTCATGCACGATACAGATCCCACACCATCAAGAGGAAATATGTACACACACTCCAGTGGGTGCCAGTATTTCATCCAATTTTAATCCCCAGTTTATATTCAGACTTGCTAATGCCATGACATCCCTCAGGACGCACCCTCAGGATGCACCTCAGGATGCTATTACATTCCTTTAGATGAGCCACTTCCAGGAGGCATATAAACACATGATACCATGCATTTCTGTATATGAAAGGGGAATAATTCTGCTCTTTGTCTTAAAAAGACAAACCCTGACAAAATGTGATATGGCAGCATGAAGCATTAGCAATTTTTTTCCCCTTTGTTATAGATCCCCTGTAGCCTGTTAGGGTTTTTACCCCAAGTAGAAGAGAAGTTAGTAAAGCTGTTTCTTGTTTGCTTCCTCCTGCAGCAACATCTTCAGCAACAAGGGCAGTGACTGCTGTGGAGGCAGTTATTTATCTGCTTGCTGCAGAGCAACAGGGGGAAGTTACTGGCTTTGATACAGTACAATACAGTTGGAGTGGCTCGATGCTGGGTACAGTTATGTAAGGGCATTCTTTTCAATAGCAGTGCAGTTTCAGATATATTAAACTTTCTGCTGTAATGCCCTGACCCTGAGCTAATTCAGATGGAGGCCAATCATATAGTTTCTACCTTAAGGTTTCCTATAGCAACCATAACCATCTCTGTACTTCCCAGGTCAGTTAGATTTGTAGTATGAGCTATGTGGTGCCTTCTTCTCTTCTTTATATAGTTACAGCAGGTTTTGTTCAAGGTATAATTTTTATGATTATATAAAAATGTTACTCCAGTGGGGACATCCACTGCAGGCTCTTGTTAATTAGCTATAACATGAAGGCCATAAGAAGGATTAAGCATAGGTTTTACTAACAATAACAATACTATGCTTATGAACTATAGTCTTTCTATAAGGTCATAGAAGACATAGCAATCATGCCTGGCATTTGTCTAGCATTTTGAATACATAAAATGCTACATATTCCTTCTACCTCCTCTGGGAAGCAGATGAGAATGTTTTCTTCATAGTATTAGTATGAGGTATCAGTATGCTTCATTTTATGTATGGGTATACAAAGTTGGAGAGGTGAAGGGCCATGAAATCAATAATATTGACTGAAGCAGTATTAGATTAGAAATAGGAAATCAAATGTGCCAAACCACAGGCAGAAGCAGTATCTGGGCTATATCTAGAATGTATGACAAGTTCCTTGTTTCTTAAATTAGATAGACAATATTTCTTTCTTAAGTATTCACAGGTGGCTTATACACTGCTGGCCAATCATATCATAGTATTACTAAACTAACATTGCCCCACTTCACAGTGGACATCTCTACACATGTCCCTGACTGTGCATTTGGTACTGTTCAATCTGGTACTGCCGGTACTGTGCAATCCCAGCGGCGCATGGTTAGTTTTAGATGCTACATCACCATAGCAATGGTAATGTAGCAGTGGTATCACGGTTTGTGCCTACTGAAGCTACGCTGCCGTAATGAAAAGTTATGTTGCTGTAGCTCATTGCTACAGCGATGTAGCATCTCATGTAGACGTGCCCAGTGTGAATGTCTGGGCACTATAGTGACAGGTGCTGGAAAAAGCTTATCAAAACATTAAATGGATAATTTTTACAAACTCACCTGATCTGAATCATTGACTGTAATTTTCAGCCCCCTTAGGATCTCACCCTCTGGTGGGTGTTCATACATAGTCAGTTCAAACCGGTTCTGGGGCCCATTTTCTCCATAGAATGTTGGTGGATGATTGTTGAGGTCAACAATTCTTATAATCACTGTGGCAAAAGCATACACTGACACATTGCCCTCCGCGCTGAGTTCTGATGCCTACAATGAGGAAAAGATGCAAATAGGGACTTCTTTTTAAAAATGTATTTAGTTAAAAACATTTCTTCTCTCAGGTCCAGCTAAAACCATTATCTGCATGCACAAATCACATTGATATTTTGTACATGGACTAGAGGCTAGCATGTGAACTTACATTTGCTTCTGCCTTTAATTCCATTTTGGCAAGAAGCCTAACTTTGATATGAAGATTGAAGGTGAAATCATGTCAGTGAAAAATCTGCCAGTAACTGGTAAGGTAAGGATTTCAGTCTAGAGTTAAACACACTTGCAGAAATCATAGATGTACAAAGCTGTGATCAGTTAACTCAAAACTTAATAAAGAAATAAGGCCATGTATGCAGGAAAGGGCTTCACCATCCACATCTGTCTTAGAATCAAAACTGCTCCCTAGAGCTAGGGAAAGACATTCAAAAAGCCTGAGCCTGAACTGATTCA